GTTGTCTAATACAATGGAGGCAATCGTTTGTCTAATACAATTGGGGCATTGTGTTGTCTCACACCATGGAGGTATTATTTTTTCTAATACAATGCAGACATTGTGGTGCGTAAATGGAGGCATTGTGGTCTCTAGAACAATGGAGGTATTGTGTGGTCTAGTACAATGAAGGCATTGTGTTTTCTTGCACAATGGAGGCATTGTATTGTCTAATACAATGGAGGCATTGTGGTTCCTAGGACAATGGATGCCTTGTGGTCTCCAGCACAATGGTGGTATTGTGTTGTCAAGCACAATAATAGGATTGTGGTCTCTAGCACAATGTTTGTATTGTGTTGTCTAGTAAAATGGAGGCATTGTGGTGTGTAGGACAATGGTGGCATCGTGGTCTCTAGCACAATGGTGATATTTTGGTCTGTGAGACAATGGAGGTATTGTGGTCTATAGGATAATGGAAGTATTGTGTTGTCTAGTGCAATGGAGGTATTGTGGTGCGTAGAACAATGGTGGCATTGTGGTCTCTAGCACAATGGTGGCATTGTGTTGTCTAATACAATGGAGAGCACAATGGTGGCACTGTATTGTCTAGCACAATAGTGGGATTGTGTTCTCTACCACAATGGAGATATTGTGCTGTCTAGTACAATGGAGGCATTGTGTTGTCTCGCAAAATGGAGATACTCTGTTGTCCAATACAATGGAGGCACTGTGGTACGTAATACAATGGAGGCACTGTGGTACGTAGGACAATGGAGGCACTGTGTTACGTAGGACAATGGAGGCACTGTGGTACGTAGGACAATGGTGGGATTGTGGGATCTACCACATTGGAGGCATTGTGTTGTCTCGCAAAATGGAGATACTCTGTTGTCCAATACAATGGAGGCATTGTGGGTCATAGGACAATGAAAGCATTGTGGGGTGTAGGACAATGGAGGCATTGTGGGGCATAGGACAATGGAGGCATTGTCGTCTCAAGCACAATGGTGGCACTGTATTGTCTAGCACTCTGTTGTCCAATACAACGGAAGCATTGGGGTGTGTAGGACAATGGAAACATTGTGGGGTGTAGGACAATGGAGGCATTGTGTTCTCTAGCACAATCGTGGCACTTTGTTGTCTAGCACGATGGAGGCATTGGGTTATCTACCACAGTGGAAGTATTGTGTTGTCCAGTCCAATAGCGGTATTGTGTTGTCTCGCACCATGCAGGTATTGTGTTGTCTAATACAATGGAGGCATCGTGGTGCATAGGACAGTGGTGGCATTTTGGTCTGTAGCACAATTGTGGCACGGTGGTCTCTAGCGCCATGGAGGCATTGTGTTGTGAAGCACAGTGGTGGTATTGTGATCTCTAGAACAATGGTGGCATTGTGGTCTATAGCACAATGATGGCTTTGTTTTGTCTAATACAATGGAGGCGCTGTGGTGCGTAGGACAATGGAGGCATTGTGTTCTCTAGCACAATGGTGGCCTTGTGTTGTCTAGCACAATGGAGGCATTGTGTCGTCTAATACAATGGAGGCATTGTGGTGCGTAGGACAATGGTGGCATTGTGGTCTGTAGCACAATGGTGGCATTTTGGTCTCTAGTGCAATGGAGGCATTGTGTTTTCTAATACAATGGAGGCATTGGCGGTGCGTTGAACAATGGTGGCATTGTGGTGCATATGACAATGGAGGCATTGTAGTCTCTAGCACAAAGGAGATGTTGTTGTTTCTAACATGTTGGCTTTGTGTTGTCTAGCACAATGGAGGTATTGTGCTTTCTAGTACAGTGTTGGAATCTTGGGATTGTAGTAGATAACTTACTGAAAACGTTTCTTACCAATGGAGACCAACAAGGAAGTCCAGGGTTGCTATGCAGAGGCAGGCAGTGAGAAACCACCCCTGAATGTCTCTTGCCTTGAAAACCCTACAGGGTCGCCGTAACTCGGATGTGACTTGATGGCTAAAAATAAATAAATAAAAATGAACGCATAACATTCAGGCGGGCTCTGTTTAAATGTCTGATATTCCATTACTCATTTAGCAGATTATGTTAAATGCAAACTATGCTGAACTAAAAAGCCACAGAAATGAGTGTACGTTTCTCAGAGAATGTAGCAAAATGTTTCACTGGGGTGGGGGTTGTCCTCCAAATGGCAGTGGATATTGCTGTGGGGGGACTGCTTGTGGGGGGAATGCTTTTTTTGTTTTGTTTTTTTGCTGTTGGACTGTTCTGTGAATGCTTTTTTGTGGTTGCATTGTTGCACGAGTTTTCCGATAGGAACCCATGATGCTTGTGTAGACCACTGAGCACTCCAGACACCCAAGTGACAGCAAGCTAGTGGGTGAAGAGTTGCGCTCAAGGGATAAGGAAGTGTTGCCATTGGAGCAGCTCTGTCCGAGAAACTTAGAAGCAGCAGTCGTTGCATTTATTGTGCTGAAACCAATTGCCTCAAAACGCAGCCGACGTGCCATTGATCTGGAAGAGCGAGTTGGTCTTCTGGATCCGAGTGCCAAATCAGGCATTGCGCTAAAAAGTGTGTCTGCTGTTGAAAGAGCTGCTGCGAGCTTATCTTCCTCCTCTGTAACTTCTAGGAGAACTTGCCCACAACCCGACATTCTGGATTTTTCCCCCCCCCCCCCCCAACACTGGTGGCCTCCGGCAGGAGGTGGACACAGTGAGGGGAAATGGTATCTTCAGGATATGGTATCTTCTTGGCCACTAGCTTTGGGGAGCTAACCATGCAGCTGGTGTTCTTGGCGGCAGCATCCTTCATCTGGCCATCATCTGGTTTGGCCTGGCTGAGAATCTGTAGATGCTCCAGCTTCCAGTGCCCAAATGTAGTCATTGTATAGATTCAACATGGCTTAGTATCACATCGTACAGAAAGGGTCAAAACCATTGGGGAAGCTTGGAAACTATTTAGAACTACAATCCTAGAAGCGCAGAAAAAATATATTCCGCAGGTTGGGAAAGGCACAAATAGGTATAGAAAAACCGCAGGTTAGGAAAGGCACAAATAGGTATAGAAAAAAGCCTGCATGGTTAACAAACGAAGTAATGGAAGCTGGAAAAGCAGTGGAAAGCTAGTCTCAGTGAGGCTGATAAAAGGGAACAGAGGCTGTGGCAAATAAAATGCAAGTCTGTGATCAGGCAGGCAAAAAGGGAATATAGCGAAAAACATAAAGACCAACAATAAAACTTTCTTCAAATACATTAGAAGCAGGAAACCAGCCAGGGAGGCTGAGGGGTCCTTGGAGTAGTGAAGGATGATAGGGAAATGGCTGAGACGCTGAATGCATTTGTTGCCTCTGTCTTCACTGTGGAAGCTGAGAAGTGCTTGCTCACTCCAGAACCACTGATTTCAGGAGGGGTGTTGAAAGACTTGAGTCAGATTAAGGTGACGAGAGAGGAGGTCCTACAAGTGATAGACAACTTAAAAACCGATAAATCACCAGGCCTAGATGGCGTACATCCAAGAGTTCTGAAAGAACTCAAATGTGGATCTCCTGACAAAAAAGTGTAATATTTCATTAAAATCTGCCCCCATTCCTGAGGACTAGAAGGTAGCTAATATCACTCCCATCTTTAAAAAGGGTTCCAGAGGAGATCTGGGAAATTACAGGCCAGTCAGTCTGACGTTGATACCAGGTAAATTGGTGGAAACTGTTATTTAGAAAAGAATTAGTAAGCACACGGATGAACAAAAACTATTGAGGCAGACTCAGCATGGGTTCTGAAGGGAAGATCTTGTCTCACTAACCTCTTAGTGTTCTTTGAGGGGGGTGAACAAACGGGGGACCCAATAGTTGTTGTTTACCTTGACTTCCAGAAAGCTTTTGACAAGTTCCTCATCAAAGGCTCCTAAGAAAGCTCAAAAATCACGGGACAAAAGGACAAGTCCTTTTGTGAATCAAAAACTGGCTAATTAATAGGAAACAGAGAGTGAGTATAAATGGGCAATTTTTTCAGTGGAGGGTGGTAAGCAGTGGGGTACCGCAGAGATCAGTACTCGGTTTGATGCTTTTTAACTTGTTCTTTAATGATTTGGAGTTGGGAGTAAGCAATGAAGTGGCTAAATTTGCAGATGATACGAAGGTGTTCAGGGT